AAAAAAAAAAAAAAAAAACAAGTCATCAAAAAAATCTGAAAAAAAAGATATGTTATGGAGAAAAATAAACTAAAAAGGTCCCCCCCTCTTAAAAAAAAAAATAAAAAAATCCAAAAACTCCAAGAAAAGACTATGTTATGCAGAAAAATAAACGGAACAACTTTTGCCTCAGGGTCAAATCGAAGTTCTTCACCAAATTAAAATAAAAATAAATTTCAATGTTTCTTATTTTTATTTATTTATTTATTTATTTATTTTCGTCCGGCTAACGTGGGGGTCCGGCTAACGCAAAGACAAAGCATTTTTGCCAGTAGCTGTGCCTCCCTTTTCATCATCTTCTTTACCAGGCCGACTTCATTCTAGGTTGTCGACGGAAATGGAGGGCAGGTATGTTGATCCGTCCTCCACCTTCTTCTGGGTGAAAATCATGGCCCCCTGCGAGTTGTGTGTGCCTCTCAGTTGCACAGGAAAGGATGCGAAAAAAAGTTGGCCCCAATGATCTGAACACTCGGTCCTCAATTCCACTGTAGGAAGGCAAAAGTTGGAAGGTAAGAGGGGTTGGAGGGAGTGTTAACAGAGACTAGGCCACTCTAGGCCTGCAGTCCCGAGAATAGGGTCCGTATGGTATAGGCAGGACACGACCAGAACGCTCCGTCGGCATTTTCCGCAGTAGGAAGGCAGAAGCAGGAAGATAAGAGGGGCTGGAGGGAGTGTTACAGAGAACAAGGACCAGGTCAGGTCCACAGTCCCGACAATAGAGACTAAGAATGCAGAAACACAGTAGAGTAATAGTAGTTGCAGCCCTTGGCGTCTGTACAGTAGCAGGTAAAAGAGTAGGAGCGTTAGATATAGCGGTGTTCACAGTAGCGGTAGTACAGTTTGTTTCTTCTTCTTTTTTTTTTTTTTTTTTTTTTTTTTTTAAGGCTAATTTTTTAAGCCCAACCAATTCCATTACCTACTTTCGTACTTCTTAGTGTAGCAGTCTAGACTCTAGACCCTCTCCCTACTTTCAATTTGTCTATCAGTAGTCTCCCTGTAGGATTATGGTAATGCAAGAAGAATTCTCTCCCTTGTAGGACTTAGATAAGATAGTCGGTAGAGCTAGGAAGGACGCAGCCTAAGAGCTGCTGGGTCTGTAGAAAAGACCTGCAGGCTTTCAGCCTGTAAGCTAAGCTGGATGATGCTTCCAGATATCTGTTTTGAACCGGGAAGTATTGTAGAGGACCCCGGCCTCTGAATGCTGATTTGAGTAAATGAATTTGGTTTAAAACCAAAAAAAAATAAAAATAAAAAAATTGGCCCCTGTTTGCTTTTCGCCTCTGATAATCCCACATGATCTTCTCTTAGTTGGGTAATCCCACCGCCGATGCCTAATCCCATGGATGTTTGGCGTAAAATAGCAATGTGCTCTGGCCAGACAGTGAAGAGGTTATTGATGAGTCGAGCACGGGCTTGACGGCGTGGCTGGCGTAGCTGAAGTGTGATTCCAAGGGCCACACCTAGCAAGATCGGACGGTCGCTAATCTTTGTCCGATAACACCGGAAGTGTCCGACGACGCGGAACCGAGGGTCAAGTAAACGGCTCGACTGGGGGGATAAACTGCTGCGCGACCCTTCCTCTCCGTTCGTCGGGCCGGCTGCCGACACCTCTTGCATAAACTGCTGGGCTTTTTTTGGGTTGCAGAGAGGAAAATGGGAAATGGGAGAGAGGAGAGAGGAAGGGGGGCGGGACGCAAGCCCTCCGACGAGCGCCGTATTTCGGGTGAAGCCATGCGGAGGATGCGCGGGCCGGGCAGGGGGTGTAGACATAGCCATTGGCAAGCAGATATGGGCAGAAACGGCCGAGGAAAGGCGGCGGGTTAGAGGGGCGTGGAGTGCGGGTGTCCATTTTCCCCATAACAGAACGGCTCAGCGGGGCCGGGAAGCTCCTGGGTCGAGGTCCCACTTGTCCGGACCTAGGGACTGATGGAGACCCAGCGGGTCGATGATACAGATCAACGGCCGTTGAGCAACTTCATCCGCGTGCAAGCGGAATGTCGCGCCGATGGGTGCAGACTCCGTCACCATGTCTGGGCTGGGCTGGGCTCCGCTCCGTGCCTCGGTGCCCGCCTCCTGCTCATGCTCTTTCGGCCTGTCCCCGCCTTATTGCATAGGTCAAAGAGGACGTTGATTTAAAAGAAAAAAAAAAAGGAAAAAAAAAAAAGAAAAAAAAAGAGGACGTTGAAAGTGGACGTTCATTTTCTTTGTTTTTCGTTTTTTTTTGTATCTAAAGATTATTTCGTCGGCGCCCGACCTACGAGACTCGTTTCTTGTATCTAAAGTATGGTCTCCACTCTACGAATTGGTGGCAAGTTTGATTAAAATGATCCTTTGGTTTTCATATAAATGGCATGGCAAGTGGTCTGAAAATTAGGGTCTCCGTTAACCTTCTCTCCGAAGTTCCCGTTCGACAAGGTTCGGCCGACTCCGCTTCCACCAGGGCTGGGCAGCTTATCAGCCCTGGGGCCAGGTTCCACTGGCGTGTGTTCTTCATTCTTGACCGCCGATTGTGGTGGGAATACACAGATCCATGGCCAGAAATGAAGAACACCATCTAGTGGGACCTGGTCCCTGGTGCCTATCACTGCTGTTGGGTCCAAGTTGCCTACCCAATAGTAGGGCAATGGTCCTGAGTGAGTGCTGGTCACACTCACTGAGGTAGGGTAGTGGGATAGGGGGTGCGCTAGGAGTATTGACGTGAGGATGGGATGGGAGGTGGTCTCATATTCCTGGACACCCGTGGCTCACAGCTCCAACTGATCACTGTGCACTCAGTGACTGGCCTCTACAACACCCTGGACTTAAAACAA